AGAAAAATGAATTATGAATTAAAGAAGGAAGATTCACAGTGAGAAAGAAGGAGAGAGAGAGAGAGATCTTCTGTCTGCTAACTCACTCCCCAAATGGATACAATGGCCTAAGCTGGATGAGGCCGAACCCAGGAATCCAGTGCCTTTTCTGGGTCTCCGATGTGGGCACAAGGGTCCCAAGGACTTGAGCTATTCTCTGCTTCTTAGCCAGGTACAGTAGCAGTGAACTGAATCAGAAGCTCATTAGTGGGGACATAACAATCTAGTACCTCAGTGAGATTGATTGCTTGTTTTGTCCTGCCCCGACCTCTTTCTTGTAATCATCATTTTACCAATAAAATTAGAACTGTTGTTTCCTTACATGCACTTTACAGGTATTTATTGAGTTGGCAACAATGTGAAAACGATTACTAGGCACGGGGAATACAAAGAATAGCCAAATGCAAATGCTTCTTCCCTGATGAATGTATAGTATAAATGTGTCTCTTAATTGGGAGGTGTTATGCAAATAAATGGAAACCAATGCAAGTGGAATGAACCTGATACATGCGATTCACCTCAGTCATGTAGCAGGTGTGTTATAATTACTGAAATGTAAATGTGAAAAACTGGAATCGCTCTCTGCACAACTGACACCCCGTGTTTCTGCAAACAGGCTGCAGGAAGCTGAGTGGTGAGAGGGTTTGGAAACCCCAGTGACAGACCTGGCTTTCAGGGATCGACCTGGGAAGTAGACTCCAGGCCACTTTGTAAATGAGCACCTCCCTTTGCTCTCTGACTTTTCCTTCCTTTTAGTCTCTAGGCGACTTTTGCTCAGAAGCACACACTAACTGCTTCAATATGACCGTCATCACGTCAGCTTCCTTTGTGAAACTATGTACTTTGTCACCTTTACAGTTCTCCCTTGGTTCCATGATCAGGGACAAGTGGGGAAATGGCCTGTGACTTGTTAGAAAAACATTACATTATGGTTACCAGATAGTAGTCAATGCAATGATGACGACGATGTTTTGAAGAAAAGCACCATGAGAGTGAAGAAAGACAAAGTCTGGGATTATAGTGTGTAATTTATTGTAGAAAGAAGTTATTGCATAACTTGAAGAGCTGAGGATCATAGTGACAGCAAGCAGATGATGAAGGACTTTCTTGCGAAGGTAGACAATGACTAACTGGTATGTGTCTCGCTTTCTCAGGAAAGTTTAACCTCCCGGGCCTCAGAAAACAGGACTAGGTTACCTTAATGACCTTGTTCGCCCATAGGAGTTAGCTTGACTGTCAGTGTTCCTAAAGAACAAGGTGGTATATAAACCAACATGACCATATTCATGTCAGGCTGACTCCCTCACAACACATAATGACTGTTCTAAAGTTTCTCTTTATGTTTATTTCCCACACAACAGTGGGCAGCAGAGACCATATCTGCATCAACTCCACTTCATTTCCTAGACAGGAAAGTGCACTGGATGCTGTCTAGGTACACAGAGAAGATCTTTTTGTACCTTCCCTGGTCCAAGGAGTCTCGCCTTCCCCTAGCCAATTTTCCATATGATTTCTTATCCTGCTCCCATTTTGTCCGAGGCAAGCCTTGGAGGACAGAGGAGTCGCATTTGCAGATTACATGTGAACACACAGAGTGTTTGTGAGAAAACTGGCTTCACGGGCTGCCAGATGTGTTCTTGCATGGAGTCAAGGACAAGGGCATTGCTATTCCAGGGAAGTGAGCAGGACCTGTCGGGCATCTGTGAAGTCCAGCAGTTTAAGCAGCACCTTCTAACTCTGTACAACAAATCATTACAAGGACCAGACCTACTGTTTTGGTGCTCTTGTTTTTTGTAAATTACTGTTTTTACTCACTCACAGTCTTCTCATTATTGCTTCAAGTTAGCTATCTGAACAAGTCATGTACAAAGCTATAGTGTGTGTGTGTGTGTGTGTGTGTGACTGATTCAAATAAAACGAAGATATGAATGAAAGTTACAACTTTCTGTTCCAAGATTATCATCAGGGTATTTGGCCTCTAGAATTCTACAAAGTTTAATTACGAGTTAACATTTGGAAGAAAAAAACTCAATGCAAAATAATTAAAACTTACAAAAAATACAAAAATTAAAAAAATTAAGTACAAAAAAAATCAAAATTTTTTCAGGGTGTTGTATGTGTAAAAGGTCTTTTGAATGGGTTACGCCTAGACAATATTGAGAGATCATTTTATTGATTGAATATTATCAGAAACAAAAATCGTTTTAATGATCAGACATTTACTATAGCCATTTCTGTTTTGTTTTAAAGATTTATTTATTTATTTATTTGAAACCCAGAATTTTACATATAAAGATCATATATATATATATATAAAGATCTTTCTGTCCTTTCTGTAAATCTGCTTTTCAAATAAAATTACATAAATCTTCAAAACAAACAATTAAAAAACCTAAGTCTTGTCATCCTGTGTGTTGGTTTCATTTGTTTTGTTCAGTGTTTGCATGCTGGGAAGGAGATGTGGGCTAGCCATTGGACTGGCCTGCTTTTGGTCTTGGGCTCCCCCCAAATAACTGAGGCTTCAGCAAATTTGTTAGTTTCTCCAGGAATATGCTTATAGAAGCCTGGCTCACAGCTTTTTGTTTTATTCTTCTAAAAACCTGGGGTAGTGCACTACACGTTAAAACACCATGTGCAGCTGCACGGCCATGAGCCGACTGCAGAACTGGTGTCCCACAGGCGTCCAGTTTGAGTTTGATTGTAATCCCACCCCTTTACTGCTGTGTCTGCAAAAGCAACAGAGGAGGCCCCAGTCCTTGGATTCCAGCACACATACGGGAGATCTGAAGGAAGTTTGGCCGTTGTAGCCATTTGAGGAGTGAACTAGAAGTTCTCTCTCTTCTTCTCTGGCTCTGTAACTCTGCCTCTCAGATAAACAAATAAAATCTTGAAAGAAGAAACTGTAATTTTTCTTCCTTCTCTCTTATTTATTTTTAATCACTAGAGATCATCAAAACCCAAGATAATAATACAGTTTACAAAGTAGAATCTATTGATCAGTGGAAGGTATATATGGCATAAATAAATTCTAACATAAGTAATAATAGTACATATTTGAACGGTTAATTTGTTAACGAGCAAAAAATTCCGGCACAAAGAATGACACAAACCAATCTATTCTGTGCCTGAAGAATGACTTGTGTGTGAATGAAACCTCCATAGATGATATATTATTCAAATTTTCTTTTTTTAATAAAAATGCTAATAGAAATGTTAAAATGCACATAAATTAAAATGATCATAAATTAGGATTAATATCACACTAATGAATTATAATCCCACATTCATTAAAATAAAGTGGCATTTCAATATTTGTTCTTGTTCATAAATTTAATACAATAAATGAAAAGGCTACATTTTGAGATTCAATAAATATTTGATGTAATCTTATAGTTTAATTTTTTAATATTCAAAAGTAAAGTGTGAGATCTAGATGCATTTTGAATCTTTGTTGCTCTTTTATGTCTTTTTTATCATCTTTTCTTTGCACACATTGAAGCGCTAAATACAATTTAAACAGGCAGAAAAAGTGATAGGAGCCTGCTCTGTGTAAATGGATCTCAAGGGAGCACATTGTCTTTTGAAATTTCTGGAACTTTCTTTCCACAAAGCAATTCTTATTTTCTTAAGGAACAAATATTTGAAATCTCATGGTGCAGTAAGTGGAACTCTATTGGCAGTCAAGTAGCTGAGTTAAACTGAAAATATGTGCATTTTAGCAGTATTTTGAAAGCACAGTTCAGTGAACTATTCTTTTAAAAATACAAACCAAGAAAAACATGTTGTTTTTTGTATTATTTTTAATGGGAGCCAACACAGCACAGAAAAGAAGCAGCATCATAGAACCGCTCATTCCTGCCTCCCTCTGGAGAGCCAGCAATGAGACTTTTAGCATCAGGATTCTCTTTTCCCCAGTAGCTAACAATGATTTCAGGAGGATTATTTACATGAATTCCATTAATATTGTCTCAGCCAGTGCTTGTCAGCAAAAACTAAGATGAATCTCGATTCCTGTTAGTTTTCCAGAGGCATTCCAGTTCTGGAGACCGAGTTCCCACAGCCTGACCACAGTAGATGCTGTGTAGTTTGAATGAATACCAGAAACGATATTGTGCAAGAGCACAAAATCTACACGCAGTGTTACTCTTGTTTCTATCAGTAACGTGGACAGATTGGAGTATTATTTATTTATTGGAGGGTGGGTGTGTGGAGACAGAGATGGTATCTGTTGATGTTGATTCAGTCACTAAGAGCCCTGCACTCGTGAGGCTGGACTAGGGCCGATCCTAGGAGATTTGGGATGAATTCCAGGTTCCCTAACTGGCAAGAACCCCGCCACCCAAGTCAGCCTCATGTCTCCAGGTCTAAGAGTTGGTAGGCGGCTGGAATTGGAAACCGTTTGTGGGAATTGAACACAGGAACTCACAGTGTTAGATGCAATTTTAGGTCAAATGTTTACACACACACTAGCTTTATTCGATTTTCCTAAATGATGGAAAGCATTATTATGTTCCTGATACAACTTCTGTTTTCTTATGTTTCTAATGTAGCATTTTTTTAACTTAAGAAAATGATTGTATGAGAAGTAATTTACATGATTCTGGCATATAGCAATTCCTGAAGGATAACTGATGATAAAGCTTAAAATAAATGTGTTAACAAGTTGAAAAGAATTTATATAGTTCATATTTCTTCCTGACTTTCTTTAGCATATGTCTATACTTTGCATTAAACTAATCAGAGAGTATTACAATCTGTTCCAGGTAACTTACATGAGTTTCATGTCAGTTTATTTCTGAAGAATATGTATTTGGATGGGTACAGACTCTTTCTACAGCTACTATCAGAAGAAATCGATCAAGTTAATTAAAAAGAATCAAGTTTAGATCCAAATAGAAGATACTTAGAATCACTGTGTGTACAGGTTGCTTCGTCACTAACTCTGCCACTTTTTGTTTTAGCTACACACAGACCTGGATCCTGGGAGTAAAAAAATCAAATACATCTTATCTGGTGATGGAGCTGGGACAATCTTTCAAATAAATGATGTAACTGGAGACATCCATGCTATAAAAAGACTTGACCGGGAGGAAAAGGCTGAGTACACGCTTACAGCTCAGGCAGTAGACTGGGAGACGAACAAACCTCTGGAGCCTCCTTCGGAATTTATTATCAAAGTTCAAGACATCAATGACAACGCACCAGAGTTTCTTAATGGACCCTATCATGCTACTGTGCCAGAGATGTCCATTTTGGGTATGTATGCTTCCAATTTCACAGCACTATCAGAGTCACTATTAAAATAGCTCCCGGCGCCAGGGGTGGTGGATTGCTGAAGAGACTTTTATTACTGTCTTATCTCTAATTTGCATTTCCAAATCCCCCTTTTTGGCCCATGTTCCACAGCTCAATAGCTTTGCTCCCTTAGTGATAGCAACTGACGGAGGAGCAGTTTTTATTAAAATATCCCTCCTTCCACGACAATACTGCAATGGGCAGGATTTGTATTCCTCTCATAAATGTGTAGTTGGAGTATTGTTACTGAGGCGGATTTATCAAGATTTGTTCCAACATGCCAAGCTAATCCTATTGATATTTGCTTGATGTTTAATTATTTGTTTGTCTGTATTCACACGCTGATGCAGAGCACAGAGCAGGAGCAAGCGATCTAGGTCTGTCGTCTGCCAGCTACTGGCTTGGGCTGGTGTGTTGCGGTTAGAATAGATTAGGCGATCCCTGTTTCCTTAGAGACCTTGGTTTGGGCGGCCGTTTTATCTTCATTTCATGTGTTTTAGGAGTCACTGCTCTGACCAGTGATCCATCCTCAGTTTTTCGGAGCTGTTGAAGCACTCAATCCACTTGTTAAACCAACACATATTCCAAAGCTAACGCTAACCATTCTCCCCCTTTCCAGTCTGTTTGTACAGCCCCACACCCCGGCCTTGATATAGAAAACCCCTAACCATATTTTATATAGGAAGAGGAGGAATTCTATAGTTTTTCTTCCTGTTAATAGTAGCAGGAGCAACATTGTGTAGATAGGGTAACGACATTCAAGGCACAGGGTTAGAGAAGTCTTTTTATGTATTTTGTTTCAAACTACCTAGCAAGGTGCATGCTTTGTATGGAGTCATATAAATTAGCAGTAGGTGAAGATGAGAAGGCAAGCAAAAAGCACAGGATACACACTGAAAGCTGAGAAAGATACGCAGAAATACTTTAGCCATCATTCCAAATCACTCAAAATTTAACATTTAATTGTGTACTCCCGTAGTCTCTCCCCTTCTCTCTCTCTCTCTCTCTCTCTCTCACACACACACACACACGCACACACACTTTACTCAGAGTCATGTTCACAAGTTCTATATAACAAAATCAAGCTGGTTGAAAAAGGAGGCATTCTTTGCAGACATGAAAGAGTAAGATCCGTATGGACGATGTCTTCAGCCACATCGTCAGTGCCGATACAAAGAAAAGCAGAGTATTGATTGTGGTTTTTCAGGCTAAATTGGGAGCCCATTATCAGGTACAGTACAGAGCATCCTTGGCTCCCCAGGGTGGTCTTGACGTTTTAATTTATTTTAGCAACCCACTGGTGTGTGTGTGTGTGGGGGGGTGGGGGTTGATCTGCCTTTCCAATAGAAGGAAACAAACTAATGCATTGAACTTACTACTTTTTATTATGAAAGTGCCTTCCACTTTTCAACACCCATAATTTAATCAGTAAACACTAACTATTTTAAAATCCGCACAGTAAGCGTTTATGTAAGCGATATTGTTGAATCTTCCCTGTCAATAGGCAAGTGTGTCTTACCCATTAAATAACTAATTCTAGTCATTCCAGACCATACTACAATGTTAATCTGTGATGACTCATTTCACTTTCACAATCACCCTCCTCTAAAGATCTAAATGGAACCTAGTGGATCACTTCTGTAGCCTTCTATAACACGTGCTTTATTCTAACCTGGAGATTTCTTACTTAATCCATGTATGTATGTTAAAGAAAAATTTCTCTTACATTTTATTGATGCATAACTAAAGTGGATTGATTTCCAAGCTTCTTAGCCTGTATGACTTGTCAGAGTATAGCTTCATTCAAGATCTCTCAACCTACGTATGTTAAAACTTAGGGAATCTGATTGTGACTGCAATGAGATAGGATTTCAGGTCTCCATATACTGCACATATATGATTTTTGCCACAACTCCATTTTATCTACATCTTTGCAAGCAATTCTGTATTATTCAGGCTTCTCTTCTTTTCAGAGCAGAATGTCTCCCATGCGGCAGGCTACAGTGACATTCTTCTAAGAAAACTCCTACACCTTACTATCGGGAAGCTCTCTCTACCTTCACCATTGTCACTGAAGAGCAACACAAACAAGCGAAGCACCTCCTTCTTTGCACTTCTTTTAGGTTCTGAAATACTTTATTTCCTTTATTTTTAATCCTAGTCCTTGCTCAACGCATTTAGGTCAAAGAACTAGCATCACTCATCACTCCATCCAGATTACAGTAGGATTATTTAAAAGAAAAACAAAACCTCTCAGGATCTGCCATACTTACGACCTAATTCATCTTAATTGCTAACAAATGATGAGCAGAGAAGCTGTTGTTTTTGCCGCGTTATTATAATTCTTTGAGCCAAATGCCAAATTTGTACCAATTGACTCTAAATGTTTCAGAAGTTCTTGATTATGTGTCTGAATCCTGTGTAAGATAAAATATGTTAAGAAAGAAAAAAAGCCAAGGGGGCTGCACTATTTTATTAACCAGTGTAAATCATTCCCTTCATTTCTCATGAAGCTGAATATCAAGATGCAGGTAGCTGCTGCCTCCACTCTCTCCCCATTGCCACCCTTCTCTCAGCCCGTCTCTCTCCTCTCTGCTTCCTTCCGTCTCCCATCCTTTACTGCTGTAGTGATGCCAGCCACTGCAGTGGCATGCCGTGGGAAATGCCGACAAGGATGGGGGCATTGCATTGTTCAGAAAGGGAAAAATAAAATTCTAATTGAGAAATTTACCAATATTTTATGGAAATGAATGTGACGTTCAAGAGCTGTCTGTCAGTTGACAGGCTGTCAAGACAAAACACACACATATATTTGCCCAAATGGCAGCCAAATTATTTTAGAACTATCTTATTTGGAAGCCTGAAACACAGTTAGCTCTTTTCTATTCTGCTGTAAATGTCAGGACTTGATGACAATTCATTTTCATTGCAATACTGAATGATACGAGGCATGTGAGCTTGTCTGATCTTAACGGTGGATTCCAAACTAGCATTGTTGAAAGCTTTTTCAGTGGTGATATTCATCTACATATAATTCTAAATATTTTTAGTATTCATGTAAGTTTTAAATATGCATTTCTAATGTTATTGTGCCTTGGGATGTTCAATCCTAATGGGTTGGGTAAGCCTGAGGTTGGAAAAAAATGAACCGTTTATGGAGTGTCGAAATTGTCTCTCAGGTTATTTAGCTCCAAATCTGAAGTCTAATTGCTAAACAACAAATTCTGTCCAAATTTTACTTTCTTCAACTATATATTATATCCAGTAAGCCCTCTCTAAAGGTTTATTGGAAAACCCAAGGATTATATTTCGAACACTAATAGCTCGGCCTACTGTGGAGTTGGACCTCGATAAATATGAATGTCTCTGCAACCATCCCTTTGTGATTTCCGTGAGCTGAAATGATTTGATAAATTACCTGTGTTAAATGAACACAGGAGCTAATGAAAAACTGCTCAACAAAGCTTCATATTTCACAAATTCACGTATTGGAATGGGTCCTGTTCTTCCAAAAGGATGTTTAAATGAAGGTAGGAGAAAAACAATGAAACAGCTTACTCTGCCTCTAGCTGATGGGCGTTCTGGCTTGCGGATCCATAGAAAATGACCCTTGAGATCTTACTCGTTTTCTTTAAGGTCCAGGACTGTTCTGCTGCTGATGAATATGTGTTCAAGAGCTACTCTGCTAAATGCTCCTCTATCCATAGCAGTCGGGAAATGTCAGTAGTGATGTTAGTTTCCCTACTCCTCATTATTTTTAGTGAAAAATCGGGGAAAATAACGGCCCATAAAAAGGCAACTATTAAGTGAAGAAGTGGGCGTTTGTGTCCAGACATCCTGCTTGCTTTGGCTTCACAGTGTGCTCTGGTGATCTTTGGGAATCTCTCTAGAGAACTGTGTCTATGTGAGTCCTGAGACTCTGCTGCACATTCGTAACAGTTAATGCTTCCCCAAGATGGAAGCACTCTTAAGGTCAGCACTCTTTGCAAATTACTTTGAAGAACTCAGAGGGAAATGAGACAAGAAGTTTGTATGACGCATTTTCATGATAGGAGTATAAGTAATTTAGAAATCCAAGGACAACACATCACATAGAAATTCTAATTACAATGAAAATTCATTGAGAGCCCTGCAGTCAATGGCTGGGACCACAGTGCTGCTAAAGTGTTGAAGATAAACACGAAAGAGAGTAACTTGACTTGGCTCTAAGTTTCCTGATGGTCAAGCAAAGTAAAGCACTCCCCATAAAAACAAACAACAACAACAACCAAAAAAACCCAACCAAACAAACCCAGAATACTACTAATAACTGAGATATCAGAAGGTCGAAAAATGATTTTGTAAGTATATGTTTTTAAAAGCCTATTATCATAGCTTTCCAGAGACTTCCCATGGAAGAGTTTATGAAAGACAGCATATAAATGCAAGTGAACACGTTGTCCTTAAACAATGAAAACAATTAGAATTAGTAATTCCATCATTTACTTCTACAAAACATAGCTATGTGTTATTCACATCCTTTGTCTTACCTTTTTTAAAAAAATGACTTCCCTTTGTAAATGTATCGTGTATATCCTCAAAGGTAACTTTAGAGGCAGGTCTGCATAAATATAGTTAATTTCTTTTGAATCTTGGTTGTTTAATGATATATTTAAATTTAGAGAAATTTTAAAATGCAATCGAAATACATTTTTCCTGAGCTATTTGAGAATAAGTTGCTCATTTTTTCCCTATCACCTCATTAACTCTTCCTCATGTGATTGTTTACCCAACTATAAATATCATAAAAATTAGAACATCAGTATTGACACATCATCATCCTTATCAAATGCTCAGATCTCAGATGCTTCTAATTATCCCAGGAAAGTCCTCTTTTAGTAACAGGGTCAGATATAAGATCTCACTCACGTTGGGCTTCTTCATCTGAATGGTTCTTCTGTCATCTCTTTTGTGAACTTTAC